CAGAACTCCGAGGGGGCTGGAGTACCAGAGAAGCCTAAACCAAGGCTAGGGGATTCTGACTGCATTCCAGTCACCATGGGAAGGCCTCGGGCTGCAGGAGGAGGATGAAACAGAGGAGTGATTTTGTCCCGCCTTTGTGTGTATTACTATGACTTTGCTCTTTTTCAAAGGCTCTTTTTCAGGTATTTCAAGAACTCAGGAGCTAGAGCAGGAATTCCATGCAGGAGCCATTGTACAAGTAGCAGGAGAGGGCAGCTAGGCTGTGTTGAAGCCAAGGCTATTAGAGTGAGGGTTCCTGGAGCAAATCACTGCAGTGGATCATGGAAAAGCCAGCCAGGACCAGCTTAGAGAGGGCCCCCATATGCCAGGCTGAGGGACTTTGGATGGTTCTAAAGACACTGGGAGCCATTGAAGGCTTTAGGCAGAGGAAGAAGGAGGTCACATCTGTTGTGAGTTGTGGCCGAGAAAATGGTAGTGTTACAGGGCAGGGAGAGAGGGGCACCACTAAACCCCTAAACCTGCCTGCTCTAAGTGGGTTCTGCCATCCGCCGCATCAAGACAAAATATATAAGACTTTAATGAAAGGGAATTTTAATACAGTGAGTATACAATACAGAAGACAAAAAATACAATTTCTAAATCAAGCACATGAAGTTACCCATCCCCTCGTGGGTAAAAGTCTACCCAAAAGGGATTGGTCCAAAGCAAGGCCTGAAAGTGTCATAAGACTAAAGCACCTTCTGGCCGGGACCCATAGAAAAGGGTCAGAAATGGCAGACAAGTCTGGGAGGGAAAGAGCAAAATCGAAATCAATGTAAACACTGCCATAGTCAACCTCCCCATGGGTCTCTCACCCACGTCTCTTTCAACCAGTCCAGGGCCAAGAAATAAACATGGTTTCTTCACATGTCTCCCTCTGCTCCATGTCGCTTCCTCAGGTCTTCTTCTGGCTCTCCATCCTGCTTCCTTCTCTTCAGATTCTTTCTCTTTTCTTTTCTCTGCTCAGCTCCACCCTCCTTCTGGGTGGGGCAGGGAACCTGGAACTTAGCCTTTTCCTGGGGACCACCCTGTTACAGTAGGTATATCGGGGGTGTAGACAGGGCTCAGTTTGGGAGGTGCTGGCAAGTCCCCGCCACTGCCTGGCGCCTGTCTGGAAGACAGGGAAATGTAAGGGTGACACTTGGAGGCTGTCTGCTGCCTTCCCTGGCTCTTTTGCCCGGACTGTCAGCTCCCTGCTCAGGAAAAATGTTGTAGCTCTGTCCCTATTAAGGATACAAGGGTTTCACTGGGAATTTTCCTCATTCCCGGAAGTCCCTTTGGCCAAGGATAGCGAAGCTGGTCTCACAGCAGTATCTTATCGGGGATGGGAGGCAATCGATGGGGGTGGGTGGGTTGGTGGTTTCAGTCTCTATAAAACTGGTATGGAATTGGAAGGTGGAGCAAGACCTACTCCTCAGGCCAGCAGAAGACAAGAGGCCCTTTGCTTGCTGGCATCTCGTACATCTCATCAGTTGTTTCCTATGGATCACAATTTGGGGCCTGGGTGACCAGACAATGAAGGGGAACCTCACTGTTGATGTGAGTTTGGGGTCTCACCCTGATGAGCACGAGGACACTCAGGACAGCTTTTCATCATTGGGTATCCACCCCACGCCCTCCAACCAGTCCTGTTGTGGCCTCCTGAATGGGAACCCAGGTCAAGAGCTGCCCAGGAAGTCCAGCATCCACAGGAAGAGGCCTGTGTCACATGGCAAGGGGGAGCCCAGCTGGGCTTCTGATATGCTGTGGAGCTGTGTCCTGCTGGGAAAGGGAGGAGGAGAAGGCCTTTTTAGGGGAGAAGATGATGGAAGGGCCCCACAGTAGAAGGCTATCTTGATGGGCAGGGCTGGTGGTGTCTGGAGAGAAGACCAGGTCTATTTTTTTATTACACACCTCAACTAGTACCTTAACCATCCAGGGTGCCTGGTTGGTCTTGGAGGTCAAAATTGAGGGCACCCCACATAGCTGATGGGGGTTGGCAGCTCACAGGCAACACTGAGAGCATAGCCCCTTCAGGTGGGCCTTGCTCAGTGACAGGACACCCATTCCTAGTTCTAGAAGGTCCTGTATCTCGCCTGCCCCTCACCAATCCAGATATGAGACTTGTGCCTTGCAGTACTTAGCACTGGATGGTAGGGTTCCTAAGGTTCTGCTCATCTCCTAAACTAAACTGAATCAGGAATCAGGAATTTGGATTATATCTGCCTAGCATTCAAGAAGGGACCAGGACCTATTTATTACCTGAGATGAAAGCAGCTTCCCTTAGCTAGGTGGCAGAGCCATAAGAAAGGAGGACCTCATGGGCAGAGCTAGGCCAGAACTGGGTACGGAGGCAACTTCATGTGTCCCCTCTCCTTGTGGGAACCAGCCTCATTTCCCATTGCTCAAGTGGTGCTGACCCTCTCTCTGGCCCCTCAGGTCTTTTGGGAACATAGAAGATCATCCTGAGACCTGAAATCCTAATCTCTCCCTAGTAACAAGGCTGGTCTCACTTAGGGACTGGGCCCATTGACTTCACCATGCACATGGGTGGTGGGGAAGATCAGTGTAGATCCACTTTGAGATCAGTTCTGTTCTCAGCTTCACTGAAGGCCCTGAGAATTCCAGTCAAAGATCAGGCTTCAGAATGGCTCTGGGGGCCCTGGGCCCTTTGTTGATAAGCAGGTCCTGGGGCTGTGTGAAAGGTGTCTCCTCACACTGATCATGTCACTTCTCACATTTGTCCCATCTCTCCACTCACGTCCATCTCTCCACTCACTTCTCCACAGTCACACATCTCAGCCATTACAATGGAAACTCCAATCTACTTTCTGTAAAGGATCCATAGCAGTTTTGGTAAAATGCAGTGACAATCCAATGGTGGGTTGAGATGGTAATGTGAATTCTGGCAGGGGCCCTTAGCCCCTGCACCCCAAACAAGACCTTAACCAGCAGCTTCTGGGCTTACCTGCACATTGTGAGGGGCCCCTGGTTTGTTGCCACCTCTCCACTCAGTGATGGGGTGAGGGGACTTATTCTCTCAGTGAGTGCATCCTGGGTACCTGCCATGTGTTGCTATGTCCTGGATGTGGGCTTACATTCAGGGAAAAGACAAGTGACCAAGCAGGGGGTATAGAGAGCTCAAGAAGTAATGAACATTGGTGGTTCCTGGGGAGCAGACCAACCCTGGGGAGGCCCCTCTGAGAGAAAGTAACCACTAGGCTGGGTCTCTAGTACCCAGTACACCACTACTGTGTACTGAGACAGAACCCACCTAGGTTGGGTTTGGACAGTTAGAGAAGGAGGAGGGGATAGAGAGGAAGAAAAGAGAGAATGTGAGGGTGGCCTCAGCAGGAAATAAGAGTGACAGCCCCAAGCCCCTGGATAGCCTGACTGCAGTTTTAAAGGCCAAACTTGCTATGCTGTGGAGAGTGGAAGCCCTCTTCTTTTTTGACTCCTTTGACATGTGGTGAAACCTATGGGTACCAGCTTAGAATAATTCCTTTAAATGTAAGAAATAAAATACATGAGAATAAAAGAAAGATAACAAAGGAACTTAACAATATGTTCTCAGAAACAGGACACCGAAAATACCTTTGTAATATAGTAATATCTATGTGGCATTAAATTTTTAGTAATTTATTTAACATTAAAATTAAATCCTGTGGTATGTATAAAACAACTCCCCATTCCAAATCTTCAGGAGTGTAAATACCTTTTCATAACCACCACTTGCCACTGTAGAGTGATTTTGTTACAAGGCAGCAAGGGATACTAAAACTGGCCAAAAACACTGCCCAAAGAGTTTATCACTATCTGAGTTCTTCATCCATGCACACAATTGCAAAACTACTTAGGCTCAGAGAACAACAATAATGGGATTTATTTAACAAAGTCGGGAAAAACAAAGAGTCACTGAGACCCAAAATGGCTGATTACGTCACACAAAGCTGTGTCCAGTATTTTCAAGTCCTAAACAAAAGCAGCGAAGAGGGCGCCTTCCTACCACTGAAGCTGCAGAGCTCCTCTCCTGAACAATAGATGCCCAAGGTGGCATCTTCCTGCCTTGAGCACAGGGCAGCCAGATTATAGGCCAGGTTCCAACTCACAAAGACAACAGAAGACACAACAGAAGATGTTCCCAGAGCAGCTGCAGCAACTTAACAACCCAACAAAAGGCCACACTCACAGCTCACCAGGGTGTCCGCTCCAGGTCTTCACCTTCTCTTCCAGGCTGTACTGGCAGCAAAACCTAGAAAAGTTGCAGTTGCTTGGCAACTTGCAAAGCCTCTGAACTTTTCCTCTCTGAGGCTGACTGCAGGGTGGGCATCCACCTTCAGAGACCCACAGCAGCCTTCTGGATGATATGCATGGTGGGGGCCAAAATTGCTGAAGATGCAAAAACGATGAATACCAAACACAGAATAATCCATGGTTCTGCAGTCCCTTATACTTGTCAGTTGCTCAACCCCAAAATGCAATATATTTCAGCATTTTCCCTGGGTCTATATAATATTCTCACCAGGAACCCTCTCTGGGGGGCATCACTTGTAACAGTATTTGGCTTCAGCCACAAGTTACAATTTCTGTCAGTGTCCATGATGCTAGGATGTCTCCCCACTGCTCCTCCTTGACAGAAAGACCATGTTGCAGCTGGAGGCTAGAGCAGAGATGGGTCAGTGTCCCTCTCCAGGCTCAGGCTTCAGGTGGGAGAGCCCTGCACTGGTGGGAAGAGGCCCTTAAGAGGGTTGGTAATAACCCAGGAGGTGCTGGCAGCAAAGGACACAGACAGCCAGAGGGAAAGAATTGATGCATTCAAAGTTGGGAGCGAATGCTGGCTATACAATGTAAGAAAGGAAAGAATGGGGGCTAGGTGCCCAGGCTCTTCTGGTGGGGCTGGTAGGGTAGGGAAGCCTTTTGCAAAGCCAGAAGTGGTCTTTGGGTCTACAGTATCTGTTAACATCTCCTTGGTTGTCTTTCAGGTCAATGAAATCTATCATGATGAGTCGCTGGGCGCCCACATTAATGTTGTCCTGGTGCGAATAATCTTGCTGAGCCACTCGAAGGTGAGTGAGTGTGGAGGGCTGGCTGCTGCCCTCAGGTGCTTTCCAGACACATCAGGACTCCCTCCACCTGCTGCGGGATGAATGGGCCCCTTTGGCTCTTCTTTGGGAGGTCAGGAGGTGACTGTCACTGGAAAGGGACTGTTGCTCACAGACCTGGCTGGGCACAGCTACACAGGGAAGCAACTACACTGAGAAATAGAATTAATGCAGACTCTAATCCTGCAGGTACCAAGTAAGAATTTACTAAAGCTGATGCAATTCAGCATAAGGAGCCAGCACCAGGAACAGGCAGGGGCTGTGTGTCGCCCCTCAAGAAATGACCAAGAAATGACAGGAGGCTTGTTACAAGCAGTTTTAATCTAGTACAATTAGAGGGCTGGAGTCATTTCTTTGCTTTTCTTTCCATAAAGCCATTCTATTTCTCAAACTCATGATCTCCTGGGGCCTGTGACCTCTTTGTGGTGGATTCCATAACATTAGTCTCGAGGGTTGTTAGTGGTGAAAACTTTATTTTATGTAAAGTATGTATCGGGAAAATGTGCCTTCCTGGAGAGCGGGATGGCCATGTCAGAGCGTGGCCAGGTCCTTGCTTCGCATCTTCCGTGGGAAAATACAGCTTTCTGCTCCGTACTGACTCGATCTGCCGCAGCCTGAGCTGATGTCCAGTTTCACGGAGTTTGCTGAAACCTGCCGACCCTCTCTCCTGTCTAGCACAACCTCACTCAGTGTGTAGAAAGGCAAACCATCAGCTTATCAGGTGTGGCATCTATGGTAAGGGGTCAACTCCTTCCTCCACTATCCGTGATTCTCAGGCTCTTTCAAAGTTGAATTCAAAAGATGTACAAAATACCATAAGTTCTGTAACCATGGAGGGAACTGAAGTTCTTCATCATTTTCAAAGTTATTTTAAAATTACCTTTAAATAGAGTCAGTCATCTATTTTTGAAAAGGCATTCTTATTCATTTGCAAAGAATTATTAAACAAGGATAACACAATGTCCTATAAACTGTTTCAGAATATGGACATATATTCTGAAGTGCACCCAGCGTAATTCTTATACTCGAAGCTGCCCAAGGTAGCATGTCCTAGACAAAGACAGTCTGATCTCATTACTAAAAACAGATATAAAGGGCCCTCCCTGGTGGCGCAGCGGGTTAAAGCACAGCACTAAAAAGCTAAAGCCACTTCAGCATGAGTTCGATCCCCGCTCCGGAGGTGGCCACATGGTGCAGCAGACCTCTCCTGACCCTCCCACTGCTCCCCTCAGCAGTGTGCTTCGTCAGTCGGCCTCTTCTGCTCCCCACTCTGTCTCTGGTGAATCCTCTCACCACCTGCACCTCTGGCCTGTGTCCCAGAGGTGTGCATAAATAAATAACTCTTTACCAAAAAAAAAAAAAAAAACATGTAAAAATCCAAAGGCCTTAAGAGTTTAATTCAATAATGAATCAAGAGAAACTTCTACCATGCTAAAGTAGGGTTTATATTAGGTATTGGCCCCTGTGTAGTATCAGGAAGTCTGTTTGTTTAATTCATCCCTTTGATTTGCCTAGTGACAGAGCTTGGCATCTAACATGTCTCTTTCCAAAGGTTCCTGTGTGCCTGGTCCCTGACCTCAGGAGCTGCCTTGGAGTGAAGACAAGTCAGGAGAACAGTCCGTCCCAGCAAACTCGGTGGGAAAGATAGGGAGGGCAAGGCAATTCTTATTATGCTGTGAGGGCAAGAAGGGGAGGACATGACCTTCAGCTTCAGTGAGGGAGTGAAGGGAGATGAACGGGCATGGCTGCTGCAGTTCCACGGCTGGCTCGGGAGCACAAGAAGGCTGGACTTACTGGAGAGACGCTCTGGGCAGCTGGGCAGAGGTTACTCAGCCCGGAGTAGTGTTGCGGGCGCAATGAGCTCAGTTGTGATGTGCTGAGGTCAAGTGTTTGAGACCATCCATCTTGACAGTGCATCATCTGGAGACAGCCAGAGAGAGGTCTGGAGCCTGGAGAGAGAAAAGAGTGCTGTTTGCAAGGTGTGGGTGGGGTGCATAAGGAAGGATATGAAGTGGGGTGGGCCAGAGAAAAAGCCCTCAAGCTGCTGGCACTGTAGGTACTGACAGGGCAAGTGATGTGATTTGCTCCATAGTTGCTAAGAGGGTATCTCCTGGTTTTTAATAATCTGTGAAAACCAGTAGCAGATGGTAACATGACAACCAAAATTTTATTTAAACGTGGGGAAAGAAGCACATGTCACCTATAAGTGTTCTGCATAGCTAATTCTTAAGATGTTCATAGATGTCTACAAAGGAAAATAAAGAATTTTCATGGTCAAAAAAGCCTGGGCATGCTTGTAAGATAGGCAGGTCTGACAAACTAAATTTCTCAGATATTATAGAAATGTAGATGGTGAATTGTCAAGAGCTAGATCACTGTGCTCAGTTACTCAAACCTTTTTCTCAACCTTTCCCTCATGTAAACTACCTACTTGCTTTGGAAATGCTGCCCTCCATGATATAGTCACAGAAAAATTGGAAAGTGAAACAACTTTGTTACCAAAGTTCTGGAAATTCTAGATAATGTTGTACGACATGAAACTGATATTGAAAAAGTACAGATAAAATTGTTTGTTAAATTGTTTGCCGGTAATTGTATGCCCGGAAAACACCAAATGATTCACTGTGAAACTTTTAATTAGAGTTATGAAAGATGAAGTGATATGGCCAAATATAAGAGAATAATAAAAATCAGTAATTCCTGCTTAAGCCCATAATGCTCTGGTAGTAGGGAGAATAGTGAGAGAAAAACTCTCTTTACAGTAGTAACCAAAAATATAAAGTATCTGGAACAGTCCTAACAAGACAGACACAATATCTCCAGGAAGAAACTTGCAGATTTTTAAAAAAACTTTTTTGAAGATTTATTTACTTACACGTATAAGAACTGTGGTATAGGCCAGAGGTGCAGGGGGTGAAAGGATTCACCAGAGAGTGGGGAGCAGAATAGGCAGACTGACTGAAATACACTGTTGAGGGGAGCAGCAGGCCAGACAGGAGAGGGCTGCTCCACCATGTGGGTCGCCTCCAAGGATTTGCTTCAAACATCTTATAAAGTGAAACTGATTAGAATCATATTCTATTTGCAGAGCATTAACTGGTCAGTTGAGTTAAATATAAAGCTCTGAAAATGCCCCTCATCTAGATAACTTAACCTGTGACAAACACAAATGGGTGATTAGAAAGTGTTGTACATAAATATATGATAAATACACGTTTCGTATAAGGTAATTTAAATATAACATGATAAATATAGGCCAATAAAGCTCTCAACTATTTAAAGCCTTCATCAGTCAAGATGAAAATACTTGGTGTCCAGGGCTTTCTAAGCTTAAATTCCATAGAAGGAATTGTAAACAGGATGACAGATATATTTAAATACTTAATATGTAAAACTTCTCTTAAAAGAATAATTAAAACACTGATGACAAGCACAAAAATCATTTTCACTGTGACAAACATATCATAATATTTGGAAAGTTCTCATATATCACAGGAAAAACAGAATTGATAATGGAAATGACCAGTTAGCAGAGGAAAAAATAGAAATGTACAAAAAGGGAAACGTATTTAGCTTTACTATTGATCAAGGAAATGAAAAGTCTGCCATTTTTTTAAAGATGTATTTTATTTATTTATATATACAAGAACTGGGGTGCAGACCAGAGGTACAGAGGATGAGAGGAGTCACCAGAGACAGAGTGGAGGGCAGAAAAGGCAGGTGCATTGCCTGAAACACACTGCGGAAGGGAGCAGCGGGAAAGACAGGAGGAGAGGTCTGCTGCGCCCTGTGGGTCAGCTCTTGTCCTAGTTGCTGGAAATAGCTTCTTTGTGCTGAAACTTTAACCTCTGTGCCACCAACACTCGAAAGTCTGCCATCTTTACAGCATCAACTTTATTAAGAATTAAAAAGGGGAATAACTTCTGATTTGGGTGGCATGTCCTGTGGTACGAGCGCAAATGTGCATACATTTCTAGAAGAAAATATGTTGCAAGTTATTCACTGACCTTAGAGGTTTCCCTCCATTTCTACTGCTCCATCCCTGAGCAGTTATCATAGCTGTGGGCAACGTTTTAAGAACAATACAGTGGCCAAGTCCTCTTCTAGTTGCCAACAACTCAACTGGATATACTTTAAACTGTCCAGTAGTAAGGGTTTTCTTAAATCAACTATAGTATATGTCTCCATTGTAGAATACCAGACTGCCAATAAATCCCATTTTCAAAACACATTACAGCTGTATGGTTACAGCATACAGTTTGTTTGTGTTTTGAAAAAAGGGTATGAATTTACAGGATGATCTCAATTTTGTGTACAAATATATACAGAAGGGACTGGAAGGAATGTGGGCAGTACTTATTTCTGGGCTATAAGCCATGAATTTTTATTTTCTTCTTCGTACTTTACTAAATCTTCTTAACTTATGCTCTGAAGCATGTTCCTTTTATAGCCAAAGCTGTGTATTTTTAATTGTCAAAAATAGTGTATATTTTGAAAAAGAAAAAAAGTCACTTAACAATGCCATAGTCTAATGATCTTGTTTAACTGAGCTGCAGGCCTCGGAGGAGGATCCGCGCTGTGTGCGTGGTCATACTCAACATTTTATTCCTGACTCAAAGAGGACATAGAAGGGCATCCTTGTGGTGAGCTGGGGGTGGTTGGGAGGGATCTGAGTTCCTCTACCCTGAGGACACTGAACCTGCCGTCCCTGGAGCTGAGCCCACCACCTGCATTCCCAGGGAGCTCTAGGCAAGCCCTTTGGCTGTATTAGCCACCCTAGGTACTTCCCCGCCAGGCGAGATGTGTCACTTGGAGGGAGGTGTGCAGGCGCCTCCTTCCAAGTCTTTGTTGATTCGGCCTCTGCTCCTCATATGCCACCTCATGGGAAGGGGTTCTGCTCTGCTTGGGCCATGTTGGTACCTGCCGTGCCCCACATTTGCAGAAAGAGGCACACAGAGGGTGGG